CACACACCACCACCACCACCACCACACACACACACACACACACACACACACACACACACACACACACACACACACCAGAGGGCAAGAGCAAGAGAGAGAGGCAGAGAGTGAGAGAGAGGCAGAGAGAGAGAGCGGGAGACTGCGACAGCGGCACAAAGCTCTCCGGTGCAATCGCTCCGAGGGATTTTTTATCGCCACCGAAGGCAAGCCTGCAATGCATACTTCATGCATGCGTGTTTCGCAAGATTTGCCGGTTGGCACTTGGAGGCGATGCCTTTGCACCGCCTCACAAAATCTTCGTTGAGATAGTTGTGCATATGTCGCAAGTTAAGAGGAAGCGTATCGAAGATAGCGTGCTCGACCATGTGATTTTTCGGTCGCACCGGCCACCGGCACAATCCTGCCTGTAATGCTTCTCCGTTGAGGCGGGCATAGCCCGCTCGAAAAACCATATAGGCCGTTCTCATAGTCTGAACTGCATCACCGGAAAGCTTTCTCCCACTTTTCAGCATGATTGTCTCAAGAGTGGCGAGGGACATACATACACCTGCCCGAATCCTTGGGAGCGAGATTTAAACTCGGGTTTGGTATCTAGGGTTTGGGGTTAGGGTTTAGGGTATAGGGTTTAGGGTTCAGGGGTTAAGTTTAAGGTTTGGGGCTTGGGTTTAAAATTTGGCCAAGGATCTCGTAGAAGGGATCACCGGGGTGCTGTTCCAACAAGTATGCCATAAGCTGACCCAACCAAAATATGGCATAGCGTGCTGCTGCTGCCGAGAGATGCTTTTGCGATATGTTCAAGTACTCCTTGGAAGTAGGATGAAGGGTGGCACTGGTGAAAAGCTTCCTGGAAGCTCTGTCCACCACACCTGTCGACTTAAGCTCCATACAGTTCGATATAGGGTTTAGGGCACAGGGTACCTTATTTAAGGTACTAGACTCCAGCTCGAGCCTGCGTCTTCGCACCAGCTTCGGTAGGACTCGAAGAGTGATGATAGCTCAGATTCTCGCTGCGGCCCATCGCTAAGATCGCAGAGCAAGCTTCCCAAAATGTCGGGGTACATTGCCAGGTGCAGCAAGTGCATAATGTCCGGCCAAATTCCTTAATCTAGAATCTAGAACAAAAACATCCTGAACATCGGGCTTATAAGCCTCAAGGTGTATAGTCTCAAGGTTCCGGGCTCCAAAGAGTCATAACTCTAGCTGGAAAACCCAAGACCCTAAACCCCAAACCAAAAAACAAATATTGAACAAAATCTGATAACAGATTTGTGAGCTTCGCCATGGGCAGAAGCCCGTGATCTGCGTCAGCGGGCTCGCCCCGTGGATTCGGCGAAACTCGTCGGCGTCCTTCAGCAGCGTCTGTCGGTGTGCAGCCTGCCCTCCGAAGTTAACGAACAGCAAGTTTGGATCATTTGCAGCCCCATGGTCGTCGTTGACGTAAGTCCATTGAAGTGCCTCTCGGGATCTCGGGTTCGCACAGATATTGCTACTTCAACTTCATACAAGTGTGCATGCAATCCGCCTCGCATAAAAAGCAGCATTGTTGTCGGGAATAATCGCCTCAAATCGGCGGCAAGTTATTGGGTCGGTTTAGGGTTCGGTATAGATTTATAGGGCTATATATCTAGGGTTTAGCGAAAATATAATGAAGCTGAGGTTCGCTTCAAGAAAAAAATTTTCTTGATGAATTCAAGGTCGGCCTGGAAGCCGTCAAGGATTCCGCACTTTCCGCCTGCTAATGGGCGCCCTGCGACCTTCCACCGGAGGGGTTCGTACTCGTTGCTGAACAATCGTCCCCAAGCATCGGTTGAGGGATACCGGCCGCTTGCTAGCGATTCCATAGACCAGGACAAAACTTCTAGAATAGCCCATCTTGATTCATCGCTGTGATACATCATGTTCAAGCATGATAACCTCGGATGCAGGATCATGGTTATAAACTTCGCCTCGACACCGATTGGAATTATATGCAGTCCAGTCGCAAGAATCTGCCATCCATCGTGGACGATCTACTAAGCGGTGAGATCAAGCAGAACATCTCGAATTTCTGCTTTTCTTGGTTTGGACAGAATGAAGGCAAAGCTGTTGGATATCACAGCATGTCGCAAAACTTGTTTGCAAATGGGCTGCTGGTGAACTCTGCCCCATCGCCATAGAGGCGTAGCGGAACACAGTCTCCCCAGTCGGATGCCTGAACTTCGCCATGTCTTTAACAATAGCACCAAGACACGGCACGTATACCTCGATGCAGCTGAGGAACATTACTCAGGATCGGATGATCCCGGCACCACTGCTGATCTTGATCTGCCCAGTAATCCCGAACCTTGGATTGCACGGAATGCCAAGCGTTTGAAATCGAGACACAGTGGGCTTAGGGTTTCAGGCTTGAGTTGGTGTGTTAGGATTTGGGGCGTAGCTTGTATTTCTGCGATCCAGGCTAGCAGCATGCTGAGTGCTCTCGTAGAGCAAATCCGCATGACCAGCATCATGCAGCGAAGCGAAAATCTCGTGAGGAAGAAACATGTGGTGGGTGACCTCCCGGGTAGTTCTAGCCCCACGAGCATCCTGGTAGCAGGCTGTGAGGGGGAACCTTGGTTCGTGTGTTCGGAGGATTTCTGGCTTTGTACGATTTGGACGGAGCAGTGCAGCTTGGGCTCGTAAATGTCATCGGCAATGCCTTCCTCCAAGGCTGCTTGTGTATCCATCGTTCCAAGAGTCGCATCTGCCCCCAGGAATTAATTTCCCCACGAAATGAAGTGGCCAGCTCCAGCAAGTCTGGCCTCGGCGGGTGAATCGAGGCCCAAGTACATTCATAACATTAATGGACGAGGTGCGGCACCAGGGCATGAGGGAGCCGGTACACACTTTGCAACGATGTCGCCACATCCGCCAACGGAACCTTCAGGGTTTGGAGGGATCTTATTGTTTCTGTCATGTAGTCGTGACATTGATCGTGCACAAACCATGCACCTGTCCATTGGAAAGATGTTTCAAGACTTGGTCGCAGGTCTCTTGCACATAGTTTCGCATGTAATCGCCAGCATCATTCGAAGAAGCGGACATCACCAAAGTCTCTATATGTTTAGGGTCTGAAACAGCTAGGGTCTGGGTGTGGGGTTCAGGGTTTATGTTGGTTTAAGAACCCACACTCGGGACTGGGCTCGTGCTTATGATGAGGCTTCGGGGCTCGGGTTCATGGGTTTCGGCGCTCACGGGGTTCAATTTAGGGTTTACAGCTTATAATAGGGTTTGGGCTTCTACGGTTGTCCATGATGACACAACAGCTGGGCCAGCTGAGTTGCAAGCTGAGGCGGCACAGCACTGATGCACTGGGACGACTTCATACACATGGTCACATGGGTCTGCAGGCAGCGACTGCTCACGACTCCAATCTTTTCTTGCGGACTCATCACGAGTATTCGCAGCAGGAACACAGAAGCCATGCGTGTATGCATGGGGCAGGGTCTCGAGTGCTCAGTGTCCCCGGAAGTCTGGAGTGGTTTTATGCATCGGGCTAAGCTATGCGTGCAGCCGACTAGCAGAGTCTAAGATGCCTGCTGCATGCACACCGGCCACACACACTCCGATCCTGCAGACCCCAGGAAAATTAAAGCCATGAGCTCACTTCACCCGCTTTGCAGGTGGCTCCTCGTCTTCTGGCCACTCCTCTTGCGGCTGCGTGCCATCTCCAGGCTCGTCATCGTCGAATGCATCATCATCGTGCTCGTCTCCTTCTCCCAATTTCTTTTTTTCTTCCTTCTCTCGCTTGCGTTTCTCTGCAGCAAGGCCTGCAGAGGGAGAGATGAACCATGTGCACATCGATCATGTACATGCCAACCATATACATTTGAGGCCAAAGTGCGTCGCTTGTGGGAGTCGACGATGTCTTCTGCATCTGTGATGATTTTGCCCTTTGCCTGCAGGGATGTGGAAACATGATGGTCTTGGGCTTAGGGTTACTATTCTAGGGCTTATAGGGGCTTAGGGTTTAGGTGTCGTTGTGGTTTTTTATATGAGACATGCACACGGAAGCCTCCAGTGCCGGCTTGTGCTCATCCAGGGCAGCAACACATTCCTCCGTAGGCGTGCAGGCGAAAACCATTTTCTGAAGCCTCGGGTTGATGCATATACTCGAACATGACTCGGTCGATGATGCATGCATGCAGCAGCGACTGGTCGCAGATTAAAGTAGATAATGCCACTCCGAGCATCTCGTTGAAGATGCCGATGCAATCCGTCGAGATCTCACCGAGGTTCTGCACCATTTTCTGTCGATCAGGCAAGCACACGTTGGATTGGGACATCAGAGGGTTAACTTTTGGGTTTAGGTGGAATGAATGTGAGGCCTGCAGACATGACCCAACAAGATCTGATCCCTGCCTCCTGGTTTTTGATGCCATAAGACGTAATCGAGGTGGCCAGCAGAACAGCTTTATCCGAAAGGGCCCGTACCCTGAGTTGGGTTTGCATGCTGCGTGGCAACAAGCAAGCGAATATATGTAGCTTCGGAACCCCATATGATCACGTTGAAAGTCTTTGTTCATCTTCTCGTCGGCCGTCAGCTCCTCAACAGGCACCGTTTTGGTAGGGAGAGTTTAGGGTATATGGGGTTCTAAGTGGTTAGAAGCGTTTCAGGGCCAGGGCTTTGGTGTGTGTAGGCTTGGCTACATGCAGGCCACAGTCTGGATTGGGGTTTAGGTTGTAGGGTTATACGGTGCGGCGTGGGTTTGGGGTTTAGGGTTCGTGGTTTAGAGTTTATATATAGGGTTTAAACTGTGATGTAGAGATATGTAGAGTCGCACTAAGATCATGGTCACACACACACACTAGCTTTATCTCTCGTTCTCTCCCCTCCCTGGCCTTCTTCGGCTTTGGTTTCACCTTGGGCTTGGGCCCGTCGCCGCCGGTTACGGCGGGCTTGGACATAGCATTCACCTTCATTTCAAGTGTCTCCGCCAGGGCCTGGCGTTCTTTGCCGTTCTGCGACGGCGTGATACTCGCACTGGTGCGGCTGCCGCTGCGGTTGATCTGGGAATCTCGGCGGCATTCTTTTATAGGTGCAGACGTATCAGATCGATGTGCACAGGCAAGCAAACAGCACTAGAATGCAGTCTGGCGTCTCAGGTTGTCGATGCACTTAAAGATCTTGTAGATTCTCCAATTGGGGTCCGTAGTCTGGGGGTGCTCCTTGCCCTTCTGGCCTGCATGGGATCTATTTAGAAAACCCTAACCCTAAAGCCCTAAACCCCAAACCGAAAAGGAACAAGTCAGCTCCGGAATCTCGGGCGAGCACTTTTTTGCAGGTCCTCCACAAACTTCTCCCCTCCTGGGAGGTGAAGGTACTTCTCCTTGATCTCGCATAGTGGGAGTTCGATAAACCTTTCTGTGTTCTTTTGCTCCGAGAGCCTTGGATGAGCTGCAGCGAGGGTTAGGGGTTTCGGGTTTAAGGGTGTTTGGACCAGCGGCTCTTCGAAGTACGGTTGGATCTCGATGGCCGTCATATCGCGATCTAACAGATATGCCTTGAGGAAGGCAAACCTGGGTTCAGGATTGGGTTTTAAGGTTTTAAGATTTTTTGAGGCTTTAAGGGGTTTAGGGTTTAGTGTGATGCCTGGGCACTTGTCCTGCGGGGACACCGCCGACTGCCACTGCTCAACCAATCCTTTGCGTAGTCCTCGTATATATAGCAGATCGAAGTAGAAGTATTCCTAAACCCTAAACCCCTATAACCCCCTAAGCATGAAAGCGAACCTTGTGCATTCTTCATGCGGCGTCGGAGGCCCTCGTTGAGCCGCTTCCGTTCAACCAGATCGATATCCTCGGGTCGTTCCAAAGCCTTAGAGTCACCAAGTCGTGCGAGGAGCCTTCAATTAAACTGCGAGGTTACTATAATAATATGGATGGAAGCAAGCCACCTCGATCTCCTTGATCTCCTGCTCCGACAGACTCCGAGCCTCCAGCGGTTCGTGGGGCCTAGGGTCTGGGGATTATAAGCAAAGGTGCAAATAAGGCCAGGAATGGAATTCAATTGAGCCAAATAACATCATTCGGGTTGCCCTTGAAGACGAAACCCTTCTTTCTGGGAGTGCTCGAATCGGCCGGTGATGGCTCCAAGTCCGATGCTTCAGTCCCCCATGAGTCAGCGGTGTCGGTGCGGCGTGGCCTTAAGTGCATGTGTTGCGGGCAGCAGCAACGACTTTTGAAGATTTCAGCCAAGCGACCTCTTGGACTCCGCCTCCTGCTGGGGATCCACTGTTTTGCCTGATGGACACAGAAACAGACAGGTCTTGAGAAAGACCAAGATCGGAAGTTGAAAAAACGACCCAGCATGAGAATGGTCTGAGTCTAGGGCTTATAAATTATAGGGGTTTAAGGTTTCCGAAACCAAGGACCCAGACCCTCGAGAGGGGCCTTTGGATTCGCTCTTTCCACCAGCCTCGCCCCAGGATCTCTTCTGCTGATTGAGGACAGCCTGTCCTTCATTCGAGCCTCGGCCACCTTAGTTGCAATATTATACGACCAGCCCAAGAGGCACAATTTTATTAACCTCACGAAGCAGCATGCATGTCATGTGTATATACAATATATCACATGCATGTGTGTGCGTGTGTATACATGTATACGATATATGCATGCCAAGACATGAGCCCCCCGGCCTCCCACAGCTTTCTGCGGGCTTTCTTGCTGGCCTTTCGCAGGCACACCGAACAGAGCTTCGAAGCCCTCTTTTGTGCACAAGCCCATCTTCTCGCCTCCCCCCTTCTGGGCAGGTGTTCGTGCAGTGCTCTTTGTTTTGCCCTTTCCTTCTTCTTTTCCCTTTTCCTTGCCCTTCTCGACGGCAGCTTTGCCCGGAGTGCCCTTGTCCTGTCCCTTTCCTTTGCCTTTCTCCTGGCCTTTCTCGGTTGTGGCTTTGCCCTTCTCTTTCCCTTTTCCCTTCTCCTGGTCTTTTTCGGCCGTGGCTCCTGGAGTGTCGCCTTCCTCCTTTCCTTTTCCTTTGCCTTTGTCCTGGCCCTTCTCGGCTGAAGCTTTGCCCTTTTCCTTGCCTTTTCCCTTCTCCCGGCCCTTCTCGGCCGTGGTTCCTGGAGTGCCGCCTTCCTTTCCTTTTCCTTTTCCCTTCTCCCGGCCCTTCTCGGCCGTGGTTCCTGGAGCGTCGCCTTCCTCCTTTCCTTTTCCCTTTCCCTTTTCCTGCCCTTTGTCGACGGCAGCTTTGCCCTTCTCTTGTCCTCTTCCTCCCTTTTCCTGGCCTTTCTCGGCTGTGGCTTTGCCCTTCTCCTTCCCTTTTCCCTTCTCCTGGTCTTTTTCGGCCGTGGCTCCTGGAGTGTCGCCTTCCTCCTTTCCCTTTCCTTTGCCCTTCTCCTGGCCCTTCTCGGCTGAAGCTTTGCCCTTTTCCTTGCCTTTTCCCTTCTCCCGGCCCTTCTCGGCCGTGGTTCCTGGAGTGCCGCCTTCCTTTCCTTTTCCTTTTCCCTTCTCCTGGTCTTTTTCGGCCGTGGCTCCTGGAGTGTCGCCTTCCTCCTTTCCTTTTCCCTTTCCCTTGTCCTGGCCCTTCTCGGCTGCAGCTTTGCCCTTCTCTTGTCCTTTTCCTCCCTTCTCGTGGCCCTTCTCGGCTGCAGCTTTGCTCTTTCCTTTTCCTTTTCCCTTCTCTTGGCCCTTCTCGGCCGTGGTTCCTGGAGTGCCGTCCTCCTGTCCTTTTCCTCTTCCCTTCTCC